CGATCAAGCCTGGGTGAATCATTCTGCAGATGCACATTTTGTAATAGTGCTAAGCTCAGAGAGCAAATAGCTCTGGTAACTGAGATGTTTGCCCTCAGTGTGCTCCAATAAACTGATTTACCTTTCTTCTCTTTTTTCCCTTTTTTTTTAAAAAGAGCTGACGCAAGTTTGTCAAAGGGAGTTGTTGGGGTGTAGCAGCTGTTGATTGGTTCATCTGATACACTCCCATTTGTCTTTAAATCACTGCCCAACTGCTCTAGGTTGTCCATGAGCAAACTTTTCATTACAGGTGCAATTCCTGAAAGACATAACCTGCTTGGAAAGCGAGCAAGGGAACCTGCCTGACTTAAAGGTAAAACTGAAATTTTTTTCTTCACAATGTTTGATCAATATATTTTAGACACTGGTCATGTTTTTAAAAATGAGGATTGGAAATTTAATTAATTTGTAAATAAGAGCATGATGTGAAGGATGGGGTCCTTAAGATTTACAGACATTATAATTTATGTGGGCAAATATTTTTGGTATTTCTTCAGAGATTAAATCTAGTCTTTTTTATTGTTGTTGTACAGCAAATCAAAACCTAAGCAGTCAGAGAAGCAACAAAACTGTTTAAAATTGTTGGGGCAATTAAAATGTGAATACTTGCTTCCTTTTGCAGCCCTTGGCTAACTTCTGAAAATTTTTTTCAAGGCTCTTGATTTACTTGTATAACATTTCTGTAAATAAACCAAATTTGTGAAAGCAAGCTTTGCATTTTAATTGTTTATTTCACAGTGACAACACTTATTTCATTCTGAAATAGCTATGCAGACAAAAATATTGTAAAGTCACTGTCATGAAGATGAAAAATCTGGCAAAAAATATTATAAAGTCATTGTCATGAAGATGAAGAAATAGCAAAATCTAATAAACCAGATGCTATGGCAAAGTTTAAAAATCTTGATACTGCAAAACCCATTAAAATGCTAGTTGTAGCTGCCACCTGGCATTATTTCCCCAATGATTGTCCATTCTCTTAGTGTCCTAACTGCAAACTGGACAGAAATCAATAATCTTTTGAAATCAAATGCCAAAAATTTCATCATTTTCTGAATCATTGCTGAAAACCTTCCCTTAATAAATGATGCAGAAAGGTATTCTACATTTGAAGAGAAAAATCAGTTTATAGGGATGAATAACTTCCCTCTAATAATTGGTAAATCTCTTTTTGCAACCAATATTTTCATTTTGACACCATACTTGAAGAAAAATCTCTTTTGTTTGGCCAAATGCCACAGGAGGCAGCAAAACAATCACCGTACTGAAGCCAAGTTTAAGAAGCACTGTAGAGCTCCTTTTTAATTTTTAACAAAAGTGTAGAAAAAAGAAGTGGAGAGATTTTTGGCTATTTCAGACTTTCAAAATTCCTCTGTAGAGAAAGGAAGACAGGCAAGCCACGTTGGGTTTGGATGCCTAAAACAGGGTTTAAGCACTAAATTCAGACCTCTGAAGCAGAAAGCTTTTCAGGGAAGCTAAAGCAGATGAACTTTGGTGTTTCTCCTCCAATAACATGTGCTAAGCCTCTGGCAAGGACCAGGAGTGCCCGACCTTGGTGGCTGTGCTCAGTCACGCCATTATTGCCTGGGTGCCTGGCCATCACCCAGGAGCACCGAGCTAGCATGAACCCCTACAGGGGTAAAACTGAGCACCTGTCTACCAGCCCAGGCAGTGGGCTTGGCCATGGTACAGCTGTGCAGCTGTAGCCAGCATTTCATTTTAAACAGAGCCAGCTGATGTGTCCCTCTTTTTCTAAATATCAGGGTATAGATGCTATAGATATAGATACAGATTAGATATAGGTATAGATAGAAGGGAGAGAGAGAGAGGGAGAGGTATAGATAATAGAGATAGAGATATATATAAGCAAGATTTTTCTTAGATTTTTTGCAATGAGTATTGTGAAACACTTTTACAGGTTGCCCAGAGAGGTGTTAGATACCCCATTCCTCTGAACATTCAAGGTCGACTTGATCAGGCTTTAAGCAACCTGATCCAGTTAAAAATGGCCCTTCTCATTGAAGGGGAGGGGGTTGGACTAGATGACCTTTAAAGGTCACTTGCATCCCAAAGCATTCTATAATTCTAAATAATATCTCACAGGTCAAGTAGTGACCTGAGAGGTGCAGGCCTACCCCATTTCCTCCTCAAGTGAAGGAGTGACAGGTCTGCCTCTTCTACACTACTCGTGGGGAGCATGTGCTACTTGTACCTTGACATCCTTCCAAACCCTTCAGTACCTGCAGCATTAGGAACCTGGAGACATGGATTTCCAACAACTAAGGACCAGCTCCACCAAGTTCTGCTCAAGTTCAAAAGCGTCACTGATTGTAATTACAGTTTTTAGTGTTTTCAGAATTCAAATCTAGTACCAAGCCTGTTTCATGGGTCTCATCATGCCCATATTTATGCCAATGATTTTCAGCTCACGGTTTGCCAATCCCTTGAACTCTACAAACTGCTTTCTAGAAAAGTGGCAACTGTAAGAATCCAGATTCTCAACAGGTTCAATTCTGACACCTGAGACTTTGCACTTTTACCAGAAGGCTTTTAGGAATTCACAGATTATTAAAAAAATATATATATTTAAAATCACTGCTTTATGCAGTAATCCCACCGCCTCTTGAGATGACGCTCATAAGTCAGATTACTTGTGTAAATATTTGACAGAACAATGTCCAGATGATTCTTATGCTGTAACATGTATTTCTAGTCAAATTTTTTCCCCTTTCCAGATTGTGTTTGCAGTGCTGCACAGACTTTTCTACACAGCCTAATCTCTGTGTAACTTAACTCCTGGCAACTTTTTTGCTTACTTTTCCGCTGTTTCCCAACTCTTTGAAGATCTATATTTTTTTGACTGCCACTTCTGGTAAAGATGTTTCTGCAACAAGTGTTAGGCAGTGCGCACAGAGATTTTTCCCTTTTCCAGAACAGGTCTAAGCACAGTCAGATTTGTCTGCCTGACTTTTACACCACAGATTAAAAATAAGCAGCAGGAACTGGAAGGACTTTGTTTCTCAGATAGGGCAGCGTCTGAGTTTAAAGACGGTTCAGTGAATGAAACCACAGTTGGGAGGGCTCTGCTGATTTATTTTTTTTTTTACTATTATTATTTTTTTGTATCCTGGAGTTATTCATATCCCAAGAGGGCAGAACTCCCCGGCCACTGGAATGCGAGTGCCGGCAGCTCTGCCCTGGTACCCGAGTCACTCGTCCCCTCGTGCACACTCCCCGCACGGCCGCAGGAAGGAGTAAACACAGCCACTCTCTCTGGTAGGAAAATTTCTAATGCACTGTGATATTGCTTTTCCTTTTCAGCTGTCTGGTCTGGGTGAATGTCTTTAGTAAGAACCAAGGAAGCTGATTTTAATTTCAGGCCTGGGGTCAGTTTTAACCTCCAGGATTAGTATTTAAAGTTTATGTTTACATTTGAAGCCCATGCACTCTTAACATTGTGCCATTTCAAATACGTTTGCAGATGTTCTAAAGAAAGGTGTGTGATGATCAGGAGCAGAGGACAGCGAAGGTCTGGTCATCCAGTGAGGACCTATGTATCCAAAAATGAGAACCCAGGAAAAAGGCTGTTAAATAATTGCAGTTTTAATGTTACAAAGAGCCAGACATTGAAATGCTGGGAAAAAGGTTGGACTTGATGACCTTGGAGGTCCTTTCCAACCATAATGATTCTGTGATTATTTGTTGCAGTGTTTTCCATTTGTTATTACCCAGTGATAGGCTGTATCTAGCATGTGATTTTTTTTTTTTTTAGAAAAAAAATTATGTATCCAGCCAGTGTGCCTGATTGCAAGGTAGCAGGTAGAGTGCCGGAGTCTGCAATTCTGTCCCCCAGCGTGCCAGAAATGTGCTATCTGCTCTGTGCTCGCTCCCTTCAGGGGTGCGTTCCTTTGTCTCCTCAGCTGTGGAATGGAAATATGAAATGTATCAAGGAATATCTTCAGGAAAAGTGGTGTAAAACTACAGCATTCCTTGCACTATGTTTTCCTCTCCAGTCTGGGAATGAGCAAATGAATGCAGATGTGTATCTGCAGATAAGACTATAACACTAAGCTGTTGAAATCCTGGAGGTGAAGTCTTCTTTCTAATTTTGGTTTATATAGTTTCATTTCATCCATACAGAAATAGACAGTAGAGTGTTTACTCAAATGGCTTTTAAAAGGCAGGAATTTTTCTAACAAGGATAAAGATAGTCAGTCTAGTACCCATGCAGTAATCCTGTGTAAGACAAGAGCTTCTACTCGTGGAACAAGTAAGAATACAGATGTACTGAAAACCAGAAACTGCTATATTAGAATAGCACATCCTAATTATCAAAGTGATCATACAGAGATGCTCACCTCTGTCAGATCCCAGGGAAAGATACAAATCTTCAAAACATTTAAATCTTTGACAACATTAATCTTACAACAAATGACTCAAAACACTGAGCATTTCCCTTAAGACCATGTATGCTTTGGAGCAGTGGCTGGAAAAACTGTGGTACACTCCCTTCATTTCTAACAGCAAGCACTTCTGCATCACCATCTCCTGGAAATTCAAAAGCAGCAGTTCAAGAAATTGTTTTCTGCTAGCTTTGTAATTTTTCCAGATGCTGGACATCCTCTGTGCATCCTTTGGCCCCTGTGCTCGTCGCCATTTGAAGGGAGACAGAAGAGCCAAGTACTGGCATATAAAGGGACATTATGCTCACCCAGAATTTTCCCAGTCTGCAACGGTTTCCCTTCTTAATGCTATTACAAAGAACAAACAGAAACCAAATTATTTGGACTGGTTTATCTAATTTGAGGAAAACTCTAATGAGTTCTGTTGTGTTTTGTTTGCAGAACAGAGTGTTCTGGCAGGTCCCCACATGGTAGAGAGGACCCACAAGTGGACGCCGCGGTGCTGTTTACCCTGAGGAAACGAGTGTGTGTGCTGGAAAGCGGTGACTGACCGCTCTAATGGATCGCATGGAGCTGCAGAAAGTCAACATCGAACTCGATGATCAGAGCAACAGTGGGGAAAGCCTCGAAGACAACTACACGGAGCTGGTTGATTCAGAGAAGGCTGCAATTAGGAGGTAAGCATTTAGATGAGAAGGTTGTTCTATTAAAGCTAAAAAAGGAGTAGTCAAAAATTGAGCTTCACTAATGGTGTTTGAGGCTCAAAACATTTCCTAGGCAATTCATTGAAATTAGTGACCATTTAGCTAGCATTTTCCCACAGCACCAACTCTCCCAGCTCTGTGCCCAGATGATGTCGTGCCCAGCACAGCTGAGAGAGCCCAGGTGTCTCCCTTGCTGGCCACCGCCTGGCATGACCTCTGCAGGATCCCAACCCTGAGCACCCACTTGGCAATCTCCCACCCTACAGTGAGATAGTACCCATGTAAATCAATACCTCCTCAGTGCAATGCAACCTGAGAGGAGGAACGCTTTCCAGGGCAGGGTATGGAGGGCAGTAGTTCAGGGCTCAAACAGGGACAGCCCACCCTCAGACATCTCCAGTAGGACCCACTATAGCACCAGCACTCGGGTGGCCTTGAGAAAGACATCTCGGAACCAACCACCAGCCTGAATCTCTCAGCTTGCTGAAACCCCCCAGCACATATCTCCAACAGGGCAGTTGCAAAGCGCTTTGTTCCGAGGATGTGAAGTACGTGCTCAGCTTTAGTGCACTGCTGGCAGCGAGGAATTCTTATTTTCCAACATCTGCAATTAGATATAATTTGAAGATTAGTGGATTTAAAACTTAGAAGGCAAAACAAAGTTCTATTAAACATGCCGTTGGACATGAAAATCTTACAGGAGAAAAGCTTTTTTCTGAAGAATTTTTAAATGTTCATTGCAATGTCAAAGGAAAGTTTCCACTAATAACCAAAAGCACTGCTTGAACATAATGTCATAGGACTTATCTAGTATTTTCTAATTTTTCTTTACGTTCAGTCCTTTTGCCAGTGATGATGCAGAAAGTCAGAAGTTCCTTACAAATGGATATCTGGGTAAAAAGAAATTGGAAGAATATAAAGAGGAATACGTAAGTTTTATTCATTTTCAGAAGTAATTACAAAATAAATCTTATTGACCTGAATCTTCTTCTAAAAGTTTTAGTAAACAAAGCTAATGCTTGATCAGCATAATCTTGGCTTTGGAAGCACAGACACATTTTCGATCAGTTAGTGTAGCAAACCCTTTCTGTGGTCTTACAAGTAAAACCGGGACTTTCCTTCACCAGTAATCAGAAAAATTCCTCATATCCTACCTGAACTTCAGCAACACCCATGTCATCTCAATCAAGATGTTCAGCCAAAGTAGGTCTGTACACATTTTTCTAACAGATTTACCTCACAGGAACTTTGTTGCTCCTGTATCAAAGTAGAGCTGGTCCTTAGTACATGCACACTTGTTTGTTTCCAGCATCAGCGTAAATGAATTCACATCCAGCTGCACTGCTTTAAGGAAAGGACAATCACGTTTGGCTTTACAGTGCTGAACATTAGATGCTCAGCACACCTCCTTCTCTTTAGACAACTGCATGTGCAAACAGAGGCACAGCACCAGTTCCTGGGGTGTATGTGTAGGTACCTCTCTGCTGAAGATCTAACTTTATTCAAAATTTTAAGTAATTTGATGCAGAGGAAAATCTAATTTTCTCAATCATGCTACAGTTTTGTTAGGATTGCTCAGCTAAACCCAAAAAGTAGTATTTGCAGTTGCAAGCTAAAATTAAGAGCCATATTCCACCCCTTTTTTTTTTTTCACTTGGTGGCAGATGTGACACTCTAATACACCATTTCCCTTCTCCTGTTTTTTGTCCCTTTCTCCTAGAGCTGGAGACTCTTCTGTCATCAGACTCAACCGCAGAGTGCTTCCTTCTTTTCTCCTGCAGAAGCACTTTCAGTTCTCCAAAGAAAGAAGCACATATTGATTGGACAAAAATTCAATTATCAGTTGGACTAATTTTAAAAACACATCTGAATTTTTTAATCACTAATTAGGAAATCTGTCAGACAGTTGCATATATTTCTATAGAGGCTGGCCAATATAGCCAATTGTGGCCATGTCACCTCAGTCACCTGTTTCTCTCCTCCCTGCTGAGACAAGATGATCAGAAGAGGCAAACACTTACCAGCACAGCTAGCTTTGGGGGTAAAAGAGACACTTTATAGTGCCAAGTGTCTGTGGGCTCAGGAACCTTGACAAAGTTCTGCCTCTAAGGATCAAGGGAGCAATACAGGGAAAATCACCAATGAGAGTAATTGGGCTGTTGTGCTCAGTAAAATTAAATTAATTGTTATCTTCTGTTCTTGCTTCCAACAGCACAGGGGCAGAACTTCCTTTGGAATGTCTTCATTCAACCTCAGCAATGCCATTATGGGCAGTGGCATCTTAGGGCTCTCCTATGCAATGGCCAACACGGGAATTATCCTTTTCATGTAAGTACATAGAAAGAAAAGCAAATAAAATATAAGCAGTGAGCTGGAGCTAAAGTATTTGTGGTTAAAGAGGTATGTTAAGCTTGTTTTGTTAGCTGAAAAAGTTTTGTAAGATCATCTGTAACAAAAACATTTTAGCCGCCCTGCAAGGAACCGTCCACTGCTGACAAAACTTCTCGGTTTTTGTTTTAGTCCTGTTTTGTATCAGGGACACAACCATTCAGTCAAAAATACAGAGACGAATAGTATAGTGGTCTTAAAATAACAGCAGTAATTGTGCTGGTTCAGTATGGGAATTCAACAAGGGAAAAAAATCTCTCATAAAATATGTATTTACATCATCCCAACTATCTAGTCACTATGTAGAAATAGCAGCATGCTTTGAATGCAAAGGCATTCACAGGTTTATTCAGATTTAATGTTACTCCCTCAAGTCTATTTGTACTCAATCAACACAGATGACGACAATGGTATGTGGGTGACATACAGTATCTGTACAAAATGGGTTTTGATAGACAGTAGCATATAGCCATGTGGAATTTTTTATTCTGTGGCTAAGCTTGTAAAATGAGGCAGACTAAAAAAAAAAAAAAAATTGGCTTTCTTTTCTAGTAACTGATTTTAATTTTATCTGAAGCTTTAATGTTAATCTCTGATGGGGCTAGAATAAAGCATAACAGTACTGAATGATAACAAGCCACTGTTTTACATTACTGACATCTAATAAATGTTTAAATCAGCTCGCATGGCTATCTTTTTGTGGCTTCTTCCTTCTGGAGATAGTGTAACTATGACAGCAACAGCATCTGAAATGCTACATGTAGCTTCCAGTTGCTAAGGAACATCTCCTATTTTGCCAGTAGAATGTTTAACCAAAAATTAATTGTAGATGCAAATGCTGTCCTGGATAAGCACTTTCTAGCACCTGCACACAGATGGTTTAGATATAGTATTTGCAGATATAAAAATGGAAGCTGGTTTTGAAATTGATTGCATTCAAGTCTGAAAAACACAGGATTTCTTTTTTCTCCAACTTCCTCTAAGGAATGTACTAACTAGTATTGCCATAAGTTATCACTAGAAGGAAAACTGTGATATATCTAGCTTCACTAGGGGGGAAAATCGTAATATCTTTATTTTAAAGGCTCTATTCTTTCACACAAGTGGCTAAAAGGTTCTGATATGATTCTAATGACGTTAGCTCTGTTGGCAGTGCTTAAGCAGTGAGTAATGCTAAAGCAACCCTATGGAGTCTTAAACAGCAAAAGCAAAGGAAGACTTCACTCACAGCTCATTTTCTTTTCTGTCTTACTTCCATGCTTTCTACATGAGAACGTTCTCCCTTCTGGTAGAGGAAGGAGTTTTATTTAAAAGTATAAAACTGTGAGGGGATACTGATGTCCCCATGGCATACATTCACTTGCTGGATGTTCCTCTGTTTTCACAGATCATGACATTAGCATTAGCAGGACTGAAAAATCCCATCTACTAAATGGAAACTGCTAGACATTAATTCTGATTGGGACAATGTTGGTGTCATTGTCTAAATTTTTGTAATTTACTGTTCTCATGTTGCCTAAATGCTCTCATGAAGGAAGACAGTGAAGGCAAAAGAAGATCTCCTAAAAACTCAGAAGCTTTCCAGAAGTTCCCATTGCATCTTCCATTGCATGGAAGAGGTTGGCAGTGGAATGGAGCACACATCACAGCATCACTTCTGCAAGCTGGCATGACTTAGCAAGCGCAACTATGATAGCTTTGATTTACCACACCTCATGTGTCAGGACACAGAGACCATGTGCTCCGTAAGTGCCCCTGATCAAGAAAGATGCCATCTTGGCAGAATACACTGCAACCTCAGGCATAATGCCCCCTTACCATATTGCATGAGCCCACAGTATGAGAGATGACCTTGCACACATGAAGTCTACAGCACTGTCTGTCTCTCTTGGAGAAAGAAACTTCAGAGGAAATTGTGATGGTCTGATGGCCATCACCTGGGCCCAGGGCGTATGTGTCCTCTTAGACTGTAACTCCTTTGCAATCTTGGCTGTCACCTTCTCCTATATCTATACCAAACCACTTGTTCAGTGGAGCGGAAAACCTGGGCACGACCTCCTTGCTCAGCCATAGAGTAAGGCTCTGTCCTGTTAGCACTGTGTCCCCTTCTGCACCAGCACTTGTGCCATCTCATAACAAGGCAGTTATGGTAATAAGACATGCTACCCATGGTGTTGTGCCCTGAAAACATCATAAAAAGCTACATTTTTCACCGGCAGTCCACAAGAGGCAGATACCCGAAATCACATAAGATGCAAATATGTGGAAGGAACATGGCAGTAGTCAGAATTAGTGAATTCAGGCACAAGTACCCTCAAGCAGACTAAGCTGGAAGAGCATGCTGCAAGGGCTCTAGGAACAAGTTTTCGAGTGTCACACCACGCTTTAGCATTATGCAAGATTTCTAATGTACTTTGCTAAGCAGATATCTCAAGCTAAATTCCGCAGCTTCATGATGATATGACAGAAGTCAAAGCAGCAGCTAGCCAGGACCTGGCAAAGAAGTTGTCACAATCATGGTTTGGGGTTGTTTTTGACAGCTCTCAGTGAGGAGAGAGAATAAAATGAGAGGCCGATGAGTAGGTAAGGGGACAAAGACCTGACTCTTGCATGGAAATCTGTTTACTGTATTAGGGTCTTGTTAAGATGTAAGATTCTGTCCTTGTGGAGTAACACAAAATAGTCATTTAGTTGAAAGAAAACAAGCTGGGGGGGCAGTTGGAGTCTGTAAGGTACAACTGCACTCACAAGTAAGCTACAGTGGACAGTTATCTCTGTGTTTAGCACTGGGAATCCAAAGCAGAAACTCAATGAGAACTATTTGATCTAGCCGAGAGGTGGCGTCCCTGGCAGCTCGGAGGCTGGATTAAAATGATCTCTGAGGTCCCTTCCAGCCTAGGCCATTCTATGATTCTATTTACTCATTGACCTTCATGAGAATGAGCAAGGGAATATTCAAATCACCTGAGTGTCTCTGATGTCCTATTTAGGATTCTAATTTCTGCTTTGCCTTGCAGAGTTTTGCTGCTAAGCGTAGCAATACTGTCGCTCTACTCGGTCCACCTCTTACTGAAGATATCAAAAGAAGGAGGTATGAGGATCAGGCTGTGACTGACTAAGAATCTCTACTGCATGCATATGTTTGACTTTGGAATGCAATTCATCACGTGTCCAATGCAGTGGCCCATGCTAGGGTGTTTAGTTTTGTTTTATTTTGTTTTTTCAGGATCACTAATATACGAAAAACTGGGAGAAAAGGCATTTGGCTGGCCTGGGAAGTGTAGTGTTTTCATTTCAGTTACGATGCAGAACATTGGGGGTAAGTGGTAAAAGTTTTCTAACTTCTGATGCTTTCCTACAGAACGCAAGGACTTTCTCTACTCTTTCCGGCTAAATGGCATCAGAAATGAGCCAGGTACAATATACACTGTATTTTAATAAGGAAGGACAGGAGGGATTCATCTTGCCTTCTTTCAGCTATCTGATGCTTCAGTGTGGTGAAAACTAGTTGCCTGGGACCTCTTCATGACCACTGGAGGCTATGATGGCTATAATGGCTTCGTCAACTGTCTGCAAGGAGTCGGCCATTTCTATTTATTGAGTACAGCTCAGATTAGACATCATCTACTTCAACTTAGAAAAGATTAACCCAGTCTAAAAGGAACAGCACATGGTTCTGACTTCTACATAAAAGAAAGGCTCTTCAGTAGTTCATTTTCCAGCTGAATTTGCTCCTTGAAATAACAGTTGGGTTGTGATCTCTCAGTGACATTGAGTATTTAAGAGCAGTTGTTGAAAGTATTCAGCCACAAAGATATTTCCTGAGAAATATCTGTCAACAACCTCCATCCTCCCAAAACATGAGACTGTTTATTTACCCATATAAGTAGTAGGGATAGGGTTACGCATTCATGCAATAATGCTTATTTCCTTTTACTACCCTGGAAGAAGCTTTATAGGAGACCAGAGAACACTGCATCTGAAAGCTCAGGGAAGTTTGTATTTTTTCTAGATTACTTAAGGAGAGATAGTTGAAATATAAATTAAATGCCTGATTGGCCCTTGCCTCATTGGAACTTGGTATGTTTTGCAAATCTCCATCAATGGATCATTGCTGCCCTTTTAGAGCAACTTTCCTGCCCAGACAGGGATGGCTTACATCTCTTTACTGCAAGAAACTTTTTGATTTTATTCATAAAATATCCCATTCCACAGTCTTCCTTTCCGTCCCCAAACTTGGATATCAAATGTGGTTGGATTCAGAAAGCAAGTGTGCTTCCCTGTGAGAGAGGAATAGCTCTTCCTCTAGTCCTCTTGTCTAGACTGATCCATGGATCTGCAGAGATCTGTCTCTGGCCAACGTAAAATAACTGGGAAAAAAAGCATGCTTTCTGGCAGCACATTTAAGTGAGTTGTATAGAAGACTACTCTTCCATCAGGAATCTTGACAGTTAGTTGGAATTTCTTTTATATAGAGAGTATTGGAAGAAAGAAACTGAAAATAGAAGGAACTTAGAGGCAGCAACTCTTAAAGTTACTACAGAATATGGATGGACAGTATCCATTGGAAAAACAACAGAAAAGCAAAAGGGAAAGTTAAGAGTATGAATTTCATCAGAACAGTGATTTGAGCAAGTTGTTAATTCACTAAAAACTGTGTTGTATTCTAACACTGAATTCTAGGTGTCATCAGGACATGCTTAGTATCGGGAATATAGCATCTATTTAGTCAGCCTGTTATCTGAACAAAACTAATTTCTCTATTTTAGAAAAAAAATTGTTTCTCAAAACAATATGTTTTTCATGCAGCATTAGTCTTGTTTAGAATGAATTATTTTTGTTGGAACTACACCATTTTACCTTATGCTGTTTATTTGTTTTTTTCAGCAATGTCAAGCTATCTCTTTATTATTAAATATGAACTTCCTGAAGTGATTAGAGCATTTATGAAACTTGAGGAGACTTCCGGGTATGTACCTTTGCCAAACCTGAACCTCAGATGAAAATCTTTCACTTTGATATCAATGACAATGATTGTTATTTTTCATTACCTCTCTTCAGAGAATGGTACCTAAATGGGAACTACCTCGTCATACTTGTAACGGTTGTAGTTATTCTTCCCCTCTCCCTTCTAAAGAGCTTAGGTAAGCTTAATGCCTCATTTAACTTCATTTCTTATTTCTATTAGGATTGTGAGTTTATATGTAGCTGAAATGTTGGTTTTGTTTTTTCTTGCTGCACAGGTTATCTTGGTTATACGAGTGGTTTTTCGCTGACCTGTATGGTTTTCTTTGTCAGTGCGGTAAGTGACTGGGTATTGTCTCTAAGCAAATACAGAGCCTGTAAACTGTGCAACGCTGTTATATTACTTGTCATGACAATTTAATGTGGATGTTAGAATAGCATCTGCAAGTGAATCAAATCAACAGGCTTATTGCCGAACAAAGATAGAATAAAAAAGATTAGCCTGAAAAACAACCCCTGAGAATAGAAAATAAAGCAGGACAACAGGAGAGATAGCGTAACAACAAATACTGGCAGGAGAAGCAGAAGTGGTGGACCTGTTTATGTTTCTATTGGCATACCCTGGTTGTAAATGTAATCTAATCTACAATGATACTATTCCAATGACATCGCCTACTCTTTTGTAGGTAATCTTCAAGAAATTCCAAATACCCTGTCCTCTCCCCACCCTGGGCCACGGGGTTGAAAACTGGACCACCACCAACAACACAGTGCCAATGCAACTGATCATGTTACCAAATGGATCTCTCAGTTCTGGTGTGAATTTCATGATGGACAACACAGCTGGGCACTTGCCAGGCCTCGAGGAGCCAAAAGACACCTTCCCCAAAAGTGGAGTAGAATACGAAGCACACAGCGACAGTGACATGTGTCAGCCAAAATACTTTGTATTCAACTCACGGGTAAGGGAGATCCTGTAGAATTCTTCTCTAGACATTCGTACCACAGTTAAACTGCTGCCTGCCGAAAGTCAGAGGTAGGCAGTGACCATTCTTACTAATGGGAGCTTTATTTTACAGACTGCCTATGCAATACCCATCCTGGCATTTGCATTCGTATGCCACCCTGAGGTGCTACCAATATACAGTGAACTCAAAGAGTAAGGTTCTTAAATTTTGTCCCGTACTTCCAGTTAAACATAGCTAGAGATCACTATGTGTTCTGACTTGACTGATGGTGTGTAGACACCCACTTGCTAATGGATTATTATTTTCTGTAGTAAGCAGATATCAGCTTTGCTTTCACCTAATAGTCGTATATTGATGACAGAGAACAACTGTTCAGATAGCTGCATTGATCGATACTTGCTTAGGAAAAGAGGGATCTGGGCAATCCTTCAAATTATGTGAAATATACTGGGGAACTTGATTGTATTGAAAGAGATAATTCTGATTTCTAATAGTATCTTAATGAGTTCTGTGTGGGGGTCAGATGCTGCTTACTCTTAAGGTTTCTTGGAATGTCATTGGTTTGGATGTCTTACATAGGCTCTTCACTCAGCCTGTTTTGCTTACCAAATATCAAAAACCAAATACGCTTGCTTAAATCAGCACAGCGTTAACAGTTGGTAAGGGCTAAGAAAATGCATTTGTTTCTACAGCAAGAGTCACTTTACAGGAGGTTGTGCTGCAAAACTCAAGGAGGCCAATGTGCATTACCTCCTATTTCAGAAAGTTTAATCTCAGAAGAAATAAAAATTCTCAGATGATGGGAACGTGCTTCCAGGTCCTATAAGCTGAAGATTTTCTTACACTAAACCTTTAACCAAGGGATTTCTATAGAAAAGATTTGACCTGCAGAAGGTTCTTGAACCTGCAGAACAGCCCTATGTAGATCCAAGGGCCTGTTCATGTGGAGCTGACTGAAAGCTCTTGTTAATTACTATTACCAGCCCTGTGATTTTAGCTACTCCGTTTTTTATTTAAAATACATCATTTGAGATTGTACATAAATAATGATTTACAAAATAATGTGGCAGATCTACATGTTGTCACTAAGTAAACAGTAGAAATGGAGTTTCAGCACATTTTTATATGTCTGTGTTTTTCTGCACAGAGCTCAGAAGCTTCAAGTAAAGAGCTCTGTATAGCCAATATAACTGCTGTGAACTTACTAGCCAGTGAGGGGATGTCATCAGAGCTATGACTCTTCAGAGTACTTCTTGTACAAGTAAAGGCTTTATAAGAACAGCACTGTTACTCTCTTTGTCTCCTGCTTCAGTCGCTCCCGAAAGAGGATGCAGAATGTCTCCAATATTTCCATCACTGGCATGCTCATCATGTATCTTCTGGCTGGCCTCTTTGGATACCTTACCTTCTATGGTAGGTCAAAGCCCTGTTCACTGTGGAATATTCCTTCTTACTTTAAAGCAGGCAAGATGGTTCTATTGCATTGAGGCTCAAGTGTTCGTGTATTTTCTGTGGGCCTGAATCCAGGTGTAAGTGTTATTCAAACATGATACGCAGTGTGTAAACTCCTGAACAATCAGTGGGACCTATCCAGCTGTCAGGCCATAAGTTCCTCATCCATGAGAGACTCGGAGGCACCTGCTAGGGGGTCTGATTGTGTATCTATCTCTTGGTTTTGTGAACTCAGAGAACAAGCTGCTGCAAACTTGGCTCTTGGCAAAGGCCAAGAGTGACTGTACTAAAAATACTCTAGTGTTCAACAGTTTTACATGACACTATTAAGCGCTACCCGCCCTGGCTCTGACGCCACTAATTCAGCTTCACCTATGCTGAAAAACAGGTGCAAATCATTCTAGTGTAAAAAAAATATGGATGAGCTACACTAACCGGTAGGTAAACAGAATAGCCCCTGTATTAGCACACCATTTTATTCAAACACCACCTTTTTACCTCTTTACTTCCTCCGTTATAGCAGAGAAGTGAATGACACAGCACAATCTGCTTCCTATCACTGGAGCAAGAGGGTTCTCTGAGAGCTGCGACACTTGCGTGCAGGTTGAAGGGAGCTATTCCCAGTTCACTGACCTGTTTCCAATTTAATATCAGAGTAATTATTTTTATATCAGCTTCTACATCCACTTAATGACTTTGAGAAAGTCGTTTGAGAAAATGGAGTAAAAAGGATTACCTCCAAGCTGTATTACCCTCATCATCCCTGAACAACGAACTTGTACCAGTCATGCTGGGAAAATTCCTCTTTCATGCCCAGCCCATAACACGTATCTGATGACAGCAGCTGGGCCAAAGCTAGTCTTACCTGGCTGCAGCGTGAAGATTCTTTTGCATGTACGCATATTGCTTAAGTGATTTAATGCCTTCCTGTTTCCATTTTGTAGGAGAAGTTGAAGATGAGCTGCTTCATACATACACCAAAGTGTACACCTTTGACACCCTCTTGCTGTCTGTTCGCTTGGCAGTGCTGGTGGCTGTAACCTTGACCGTGCCCCTTGTGCTTTTCCCCGTAAGTAACACAGCTGCTGAAGCTGAAATTGGGGCTGGCTCGTATACACTGACTGTATGTACGCAGCACAGACAGAATTTAACTCTCACGAAAAGTAAGCCTGAGCTTTCATTTGGGAGGATCTGTTTTCTCATATGCAGTTTGACCAGAGCAAGGGCTATAGGCAGTTTGGGTTGCAGAAAAAAGACTGAAATAGATCAGTCTTTATAAATAAATCAGAAATAAATCAAGAACAACTGCCCTGTCTCCCTCTGACTCTTTCCACGCTATATTTATCAGAGTAGCAGTGTAAGCACCAAAGGCTTGGGGATGTACTGAAACCACTTACAAGATTTCCTAATACAGACACGAGCATCTACTATAGCATCCAACATCCAGACACGTGCAGCTCAGGCCACGTGCTGTGCAGAACTGCCAGACCTGGCTGCCAAGGTAGAGGGGCAGAGGCCCTATGCACATCTTATCTGCTTGAGTCTATGGACAGAAGTGCCAGAAAACAGAAGCAATCAAGAGCTGTACACGCAGTCAGATGTCTGAGTAAACTTTGGAGCTTCTAGGTGCAATACCCACAGTACCAGGGACAGAAAGACACAGCTAAATGAACTGCTCTGCAGAGACAATGAGTCTCCTCAGAGATCAACCCCCACCTGAAGAGCAGAGCTCCAGGCTCCTGAATGTACAGAACTGTCCCTCATGCCTTCCCTGAACTGCTATGCAGCAGGGGACAAAATAGCTGATGCTGATCATTGAGTTTTGAGAGGCCAGTGAGCCATTTTTACAGCAGGTACAAGACCAACATCATGCTGCTGGGGGCTCCCAGCAATTCGCATCACATCGAAATGTGAATGTCATCTGATGAGAGCAGTAACCCTGGGGTCCTGTTGCTCTGTTGTCCTGGATATAAACACGAGCTCTGCATAGGTACTGTTTCCAGGATTGTTGATAAACACCTAAGAGCAGTAATATCCATTCAATGTCGTCTACAAACAAAAAAAACAAAGCTGCTGTAAAGTACCCAGAGTGACCAGTCTACTGAGCTTAGAGTGCTTTGGCACTCTGCCTTAAGTGTCATGTTTAAATCAGTGACTAAATGATTAAATCAGTCTTAACTAATTGATCACTCTTCACAGGAAAGAAAGCCAAGGCCATTGCAAAAGCCTATATCTGCCAAATGTAACACTTAATGTTTTTAGCTTTCTGTATAATCATTTTTATATCTGTAAAATGCACAAAGTCTTAGCATATACTTATAACAGCACTAACTGTTCTATTAAAAGAACTCCCAAGAAAATATCATTTGCTAATTATCCAGCATATCAAAAAATTTTATACAGCCTATCAGGACAGCCAGTTCAGCAGATCTAATTACTCTAAATAAGTAGTATAGTTGTATCAACTGCTTTTTTTATGAACAGCCACATGTGTGCTTTCTTAAAGTAGTCAGAGTTTATTCTCTTTTAAAAAGAAAAATCATTGCATTGCTAAAAAAATACTAAATATAGATGTATGTACCATTAGTCACTGCAAAACTTCAGTTTCATCGCTTCATTTTAAGGATTATGTC